TTCTTCAGAAAAACTTGTAGATTTAAAAACAAAAACGCCTGCAGGGACTCCATTGCTCAGCAATCAGGCAAGTAAGGAATCATTACCCACAGTAAAGCCAGAATCCTCCACCACATCAGACTCAACAGTTACGGTGAAGGGTACGGATCAGATTTCAGAAGAAAAGCTTGCTGTGTTACAGGGACCAAGTACGGTCAATGCTGGAGAGGACGGGAAAAAAGCCGTTACGGAAATAAAACCAAATACGACCACCAATACGCCAGACGCAGCACCGACACTGCCCTCAGAGGGTGATGTGACAGAGCAACACGGTAAGGACACAGACTCATCGAATTTCATGAATAATGCAAATACAGGCAGTTCGGCGGAAACAACAGCATCATCATTCTCCAAAAGTGGCGGTATTGACGCCCCGAAAAATGAGAGTGAGGATGAGGGCGATGCTCAACGGCCTAAGAGCAAAGAACCACAAGAAAAACCCGAAGACAGTAATACCAACGATGCTCCTACAGAAAATGAAACTGCACCACAAACAGAGAAACCATTCGGCTCCGCTCAAACGAATGATACATCTAAGTCTGGCGACAGTGACGGCAGCACCGCGGTCTCCCACACCGCCTCCCCTCTTTTGCTTCTTCTTGTTGTTGTGGCTGCTGCTGCTGCTGCGGTGGTGGCCGCGTGAGAGTGAGTGTGAGAGAGCCGTGCACCGCCCGCACACACACTCGTCCTTCTCTCTGTGTGTGTGTGTGTCCCCTTGCATGGACTCTCGCCCTCACCGTACCCCACGAGGCACACACAATAATGTGCCCATTGTATATATGCATGCACACCCATGCAGGCCCGTTGGTGCTCTCTTTTGCACGACACGCACCGCTGCCGTCCTGCCTGGCTGCATGGGCGGAGCACCGTAACTGTTTCTGTTTTGTTTTTATTGCATTGAGTGGGCGACCTCTCTCTCTCTCCCTCTGTGTGTGTGTTTTGCTTTACGGGAGCAATGAGAGTGTGTGTGCGCTGGTCGTCCCACGCTTCGGCTTCTTGTTTTGTTTTCCTTTTTGATTGAGTGGTTGAGTGCACCCATTTTACTTTTTGAAAGGCGGCATGCTGTGATGGCGGACACTTTAATCTTCTCTTATATTCTCATATTGTTTCATTGTTTCAAAATTGTCACCCTCTTGTATTCTTGTCGGGCCACTAGGTTTGTATACGCCTGCCATGCGTCAGTTGATCCACGTCACCCCGCAGCCACCAGGGCTGCTGTTACTTCTGCTTGTGATGATGTCTGTGATGTGTTGTGCATGCGGGTGCTTTGCTGTCACCCTGACGTACCCTTTCTCCCTCTGACAAGGCGATGCGTGCCGCCAGCGCGAAGTCGATCCCGGGTGTGGTGAGGGACGTGTCCTTTTGGAGCAGAGGGTGCGTCGCAGGCATACACCGTCATTGTGAGGAATGCGTGGGCGCCTATCTGCATCGATGTGTCGACAAGGGACCTGGATGATGCCAGGAAGTATTGCAGCTCAGAGCGGCATTACGCAATGAATTCATTGGTGGCAATTGTGACTGTAACGATGACGTTTTTTTTCTACTGAGAATAGGGAAAGTTTTCTTTTTGTTATACGTTGCGGCCACTATCCGTTGATAGGCCGAGGACTGTCCGTAGAAATGTGGACTAATTCTCCGTCCCGAACGGTGCTATCGTGCGAGAGGGGTTATCCCACAGCATGTGCGGCAGGGCCTCCCGTGGACCGTCAGGCGGCTGAGCGGCTGGTGGTGGTTGCAGTAGCGGGGTGGCTGGAGGGCTATGGTTGTCATTGGAGCTTGCAGAGGTGCGTTGTCCGTTTTTTGCTCGTTGATACGCTTGACATTTTCGGTATTGACCTGAAAAGTTTGCACTCCGCGGCGATGCATCGCTCAGCCATCGTGCCGTTTCGTCTCCAACAGGCGTCATCACGTCCGAGTTCGTGCTTCGTGGCGTGGATCCAGGCTGAAATCGGTGGTGTGCCAGCAGTGCTGACAGGCGGCGGTGGACCAGTCCATAGCTCACCCCTAGCAGCATAGGGAGCAGCGGGATTTGCCGACAACTCTCTCTGTGCGGCATGTGTCCTTCCCGTGGTTGCGGATGGGAGTGGTGTCCGCCGTTTCCCAGAAACTCTGCAGGCTGCCGTCAGAGAGGTGTTGGTCATCTTTCAGTGCGAGCAGCGGGCAGCAGGTGCAAGATGGTGCAGAAACGCATTCAATATTTTGTCGGGACCAGGTGCCACGCCATGCAAAGAGTCGCGGATGGCGAGTCAAGCGCACACGGCGTGAAAAGAAAATCCATATCCCAGTCACCAGAGGCACGCAAGCACAAAGTGTGCAGAAAGCAGTGGGGATCGCAGCACGTGCGACTCGGACAGTGTGACGGACGCGCGGTGTGCCCGCTGCCGAGGCGGAGCGAAGTCGCAGTCCCAACAGTACCGCAGCACAGCCGATCCCAGTGAACGGGGACGTGGTGCCGCCATGCCTCGAGGCATCGCAGGCCTGGGCTCGAGAGGGCACCAAGCTGCTTCGCACGGACCTCCAGCAGCTTGGAGAAGCCACGACGGAGGGCATGATTGCGGTCCTCCCGTTTGCAGAGCACTTCAGCTCGGGGCAGGCTACCTCCTGGTGAGGCTGTGTACACACTGCATGCTGCCGCTGCAACACTCGGCATGCTCCATTCCGTCTGTACTAATACCTCTGGAGCTTTCACGGCTGCCGCGCGGTGTGGTGCGCCTCGCCGCTCGTCCGGTGTCTCGGTGCATCTCCAACCATGTGATCACAGAGGCCAGAGGTGTTGCACACGCCGAGGTGGATGCATTCCAGTCAGCTTCACGCAGGGAAAAGACAGCATGTTTCCATAATGGCAGTATGCCTGCCAGTTGCGGGATGCCGTCCTCCGTCCCCGCAGTCTGCAATACCAGAGGGTGGTCCGGGTCCATGTAAACGGGTGGACTTCCAGTGGGAGACACGCAGTACGCGTTGCGCAGTCACGTCGGGAAACGAGACGCCGCGGCCGCTGATACGCGTTGCCTGTGCCGAATCGTCGGACAGCTGAGATTCCATGCCGATTGGGGTGGCGGCGAGGTCCTCTCCTGCCGTCGTTGGTGGTGAGCGACCGTCCCGCAGCTCATGGTGTGAATTCAGGTCGCAAATAACCGCAGCGGGGCATAAGCGAAGAATGGTGCTCGCAAAGTGAGCTACGTGTGAAATTGCCAAAGTGAGGCTGCAGGGGTTCACCACGTACATGCTGGGGCAGGCCGGTGGGCACACGCGGAAGGCGGTGGTCTCCACGCAGTTGGTGCCACGAGCGACAGGCGCTCGCACGGCAAGGTGTGGCGCACCACGAAGACCATGCCACCGGTACGCCCACTGCAGGCCTGGTGGAGGTCACTGCAGCCAATGAGCCTCGTCGCTGGGGCACTCCTGCATAAGAACCATGCCAGGCCGGTGCTGCGCCAGTCGAGCAGCAAGGGCAATCCTGAGGGGCGAAGGGCATGAAGGTATGAGCCGCCAGATAACTACGAGGCCATCCTCATCGGGGCTGCGGCTCTTGCGGACACCACTGCAGCGGGTGATACCGACGGAGTGACCGCAATGGAACGACTGTGCGGTTCTGTCAGTCGGGCTGCAGGCAAACCGCCTCGCCGCTCTCCACAACCGACAGGGCGTGGGACCTTCTCGAGGGGTGACGCCCTCGTGATCTCGTCACGCTCGCAGCAACGCCCTGCCGCAATCACTCCCACACAAAGAGACAAGGAAGTGTGTGTGGATGTGTGCCGAGAGCACAGCGACTGTCATCGTCAGAGGAAGCCATCGCGGCACCGTCCGCCACGCGTCAGCACACAAAGAGCAACGCACGCACCCGGCAGAGCAAAAACAACGAGGAGAGAAGAATGACCCCAAGAGCAGGCAGCACCCTCACGCATGGCGGGCATCGTGCAGCCGCCCCAGCCGGCATCCAACCAAATGAAAAGGAGGCGTCCCACACGCATCCATACAACGGCCCCGTGATCCCACCGTAGGCAGACGCGCGGCGACCTCGCCATTTCAGCACGGGATACGCAATTCGACGCCCCGCCGTCGCCAAGAGCATTCCTGCAGAGCACTGTGCAAATGCTTGTGTGTGTGTGTGCTGAGAAAAAAGAAAAGGAAACACATCAGCACAGCAAGAGGCACAGCTGGATGGCAGCGATACATGCGGTACGGCCAGACCTCAACAACCACGCACCGTGGCAGCACACACCATCCACAAAAAAACAAAACAAAAAAAAACACGGCGGCAGGGTGTGGCTGTGTGTGTGGCGCTGCGGGTGTCTGCCCGCCCTGGCCGCAAGAAAACAAAACAAGAGGGAAGAAATGTGTGCTCCGCCCCACAGGCCCTCGTCGCACGCCCACACGTCACGGCTCCCTCAGCGCGCCGTTCGTCGCGGCCCCCCTCATGCGTGCAGCAGGCGAGGCGCACAGGGCCGTCGTCATGAGCGTGTCGGTGGTGTGCGAGTGGAGCAGTTGGGCGGGAAACA